CTTTATCAGTAAGGCCACCAGATTTCAAGGAGACTCAGAAGACAACCTTGGAAAGATTGAAGATGTGCAACTTTGGACCTGCGGATTGGTTGAGTGAGGAGGAAATGAAGTTGTTGTTACATGTGATGGTGTTAAGGGAAGGGGCTATTGCATATTGTGAGGAGGAACGGGGTGTGTTGAAGCATTGTTATGGTTTGCCTTATGCTATTCCAGTGGTGGAGCATAAGCCTTGGCAAAAGAGGCCAATTCCGATTCCGGCGGCAATCAAGCCGGAGTACATAGAATTGATCCGACAGCGGCTCCGCACAGGCTTGCATGAACAATCAACATCAAGCTATTCGAGTCCAGTGTTTTGTGTGAAGAAGCAGGATGGGAAGCTAAGGGTTGTTCATGATCTTCAAGAATTGAACAAGGTTACTATCAAGGATGCAGGAATACCTCCCGCTCCGGAGGAGTTTGTAGAGTTGTTTGCAGGAAGGGCGTGTTATGGATTGGGAGATATAATGGGGGGGTATGATGAAAGAGAGTTGGCGGAGTTTTCTAGGCCTTTAACTACTTTTGAAACACCTTTGGGGAGGTTTCAACTCACAAGGTTGCCTCAAGGTGCTACAAATTCAGTGGCGGTGTATCAAGCTCAAATGATGTGGATTCTTCAAGATGAAATTCCACAGAACGTAGGTATCTTCATTGATGACGGCGGAATCAAAGGTCCTGATTCTACCTACGGCGATGCGGTGCTGGATGAGAATCCGGGCATTAGGCGTTTCATTTGGGAGTATGCAGTAACCTTGGAGAGAGTGATGTTTAGGATAGAGGAGGCGGGACTGACGGTGTCAGGGAAGAAGTTTGCGGTATGTGTTCCGGCATTGGAAATTGTAGGACACGTGGTGTGCAAGGAAGGGAGGACCATTTCTCAGAAGAAGAAGAACAAGATTCAGAATTGGCCAGTGCCAACAAATGTGACAGAGATTCTGGGTTTTCTGGGGATGAGTGTGTATGTAAGAATGTTCATCACGAATTTCTCACAAGTGGCGGCACCTATGACAAGGTTGACTTGCAAGGAGGCGGAGTGGAACTGGACGGAGGAGTGCCAGCGGTCATTGGATGCTCTGAAGAAGATCATTGGGGAGGACATAATGATGAAGGGATTGGAGTATGGAGAAGGAGCAGGGAAGATCATCCTGGCAGCGGATTCCAGTCACATGGCAGCTGGAGGGGTATTGATGCCAGAAGATGGCGAGGGGAGAGCACGCCCAGCGGTTTATGAATTGCTCATATTTTCGCCAGTCCAGTCACACTATTCACAGCCAAAACTAGAACTGTGT